ATGCGGGTTGGTGATTACAAACTTATTATTAGAAATTATAAGCCTAGGTTTCCTCACGATGTTTTCCTTCACCGTTTGTCAATGGTGTCTAAATAATCTTAGAAAGTATATATTACGTGGAAAAAGTCACATTGGTACTTGCCGTTGGTAGGTTTCGAACCCGCACCCTCATGCATGAGAAGCGGGCGTCTTAAACCTCCAGGCCACCACGACATTATGGCATATACAGGCATAACTGACAACCTTCTATTTTTGAAATTGGTAAAAAAGCAACGTTATTTACTCAGTGTCAATGCAAAATATCTGCACATATTCAGATGGCAATTTATCAATTATTTTTCAGTAGTTGTAGTACAGCATGCATAAATTCTGCTGACACGACTGCGGTATGCCGATAACGTATTGAATTTCACACTTTATGTAACACCCACATACACCACATGTTTCGCAGTTCTTCCAGTTTGCTTACTAATATTGATAATGTGAAAATGTGTTTGATTTTCTTTTTGTAGTGACGCGATGGAACGCTTTTTTGCAACGACTTATGTTTATTTAGATACGTGATAAGGAGTTTGGAGATCATAGATATACATAACATCACGCCTTTTTTATACCCGTAGGGGTAGGCAGACTTAATGCCCCTGTACAATGTAACAAACACCGACTTTTCTCTATTTACGTTATGAGTCTAGGGCATATGGCAATAGGCTCACCCCTATTGCCATATATCGGGCACAATTCCAGACTCCATGCTACTACCGAGATTTTTTTTAAACCCAGTAATACTTTGCCCGTCCCGGTTGAATCGAACCCGAGACCCCTTGCCCGGCTGTCGCGACCACTCGGCCAACGAGGCAGACCATAGATTTAATAATTAGAAAGTTCTTTGTTGACCTTTCGTGTGTTTAAACGCAATGTTTTTGCTATTGTGTCTCATATCGGTTCATTCAAGCGGTCAAATCTGTGTTGAAGACCCATAAAGATAAAGCCCTTTTTCCTTTGACCACGCCGATGAACACGTGACAAAATGCGGTCGTGTTTTTGACGTGCAGTTTTCAAAATGACGAGTGAAACGATACGCGTATACTAAAAAACTGTAAGTTTCAGTGCAAACATTATCAGCAGATGTAGATTACTACCTCTATAATACGTATATTAATTGAAGCGGAGTGTCTATAAGTTGTTATGTTTCATATAAATATTGTTAAGTATTATCAGCTGTCATATTACGGAGGCAAGGACTACAACCACCGATAATAGACACCGCGAATGGCCGACATTTAATTTTATTATTGCTATATTACTTACATGAACTAATTATATTTTGTTCTACGAACTACGTTAAACTTGCACTAGCTTTTGACAGCGGGTTCGTTCGTGCTCTTTTAAATAGTTGGGGGCAGATAAAAAAAATGGAACACCATTATTTTTAGTCTCAAATAGTTCGTAACTAATTTTTACCCGACTGCCAAAGAAGGAGGGTAATGTTTTTCGAGTGTATGTAAGTATGTATGTATGTCTTTTCCTTTGTGACCACCTGTAGCCTAAACGGCTTGATGGATTTTGATGTATGAGGTATCGTTAGATTTGTCTTGATTACGGGAGTGTCATAGGATACATTTTATCCTAAAAGTCCCACGGGATAAAGACATAATAATATTTTTTCTAAATTTCCCTTTAAAAAAATATGTATGCGGTATCATTAGATTCATTTCAATCACGGGAGTAATTAATATAGGATACGTTTTTTCTCAAAATTCCCACGGGAACATGTTAATTCTGCGTCAACGCAAAGCAACTCATGCGTTAGCAAGCAAAAAGATAGGGCGTGGCCTGGCATGCGGCGCGCGGCGCGGTGCGGAGGGGGATATGCTCGAGTATACAGCCCGATTGCGGGCACACGCATGAGGGCACACGTCGTTGACGATAGTCTTCTACATCTACAACATTTTCGTTAAATAAAAACAGCTAAAAAGTTATAAATAAAAAAATTATTATTAAAAAAACAAAATACCCGACTGCACACTAAAAAAAGAGTAAAACAAGCCCCACAATAATATTGATCAATCAAATGCTAAAAACTAATTATGTAATACCGTTAAAACTTTACCTATATTAAAATACACTACAATATGTGTTCGTAATCGATAGTTAAATAAACAGAAACTTGACCGCCACCAACGAAAATTCTGCTAAATGGTGCACAACCGAAATGACTATAAATAAGCCTCTGTTGGTCCCCGCCTGCGATGCTTTCCATCAACATTTATAAATTATATTCAGTAAATTTGTATTCAAAATAAGTTTCTGTTTATTTAACTATCGATTACGAACACATATTGTAGTGTATTTTAATATAGGTATTGTTTAAACGGTATTACATAATTAGTTTTTAGCATTTGATTGATCAATATTATTGTGGGGCTTGTTTTACTCTTTTTTTAGTGTGCAGTCGGGTATTTTGTTTTTTTAATAATAATTTTTTTATTAGCTTTCTATTTTGAAAAGTTCGGCAAGTTACATACGAACTTTTTCGCCTCTTTTAGGAGTGGGAGATTAAAAAGAGACAATAAATATTACTAGACTACTCCTCAACTATCTCCATTTAAACAAAATCCCTCGTCAATACGTCTTGCCGTGAAAAACAGACACACACTATCACACGTGTAATATTAGTAAGGATTGTTATTTTGGCTTCAATGCAGTTTCGCTTTCCGCATCTGTTTACCCGATTTCCACAGAAATAAATAGTGATGCGTAATTTCGTGCAACATATCGTACGAAAGTATACAAATTGTGTTGTTTCGCTTTATAAATAAACCTGTGTGACTGAACTTTCGTTTGAAAACAACAGGTTTTGTTTGAAATCATTATTTGATAGTAAGGTGTCCTGACATACGATGGCCATGCGACCTTGTCAACCTATCCTGTTCTCTCCAATTTCTTTATTACATACTCAACTTTATTGGATTGATATAAAGTCGAAAATCTAATGAATTGGAGTAAGAAATTGGAGTAGGTTGCCGCAGTACCTAGTTCATTTGTTTCACTTGTTTGTTTAACACATAACATAACATCATGCCTTTTATCCCCGAAGGGGTAGGCAGAGGTGTACATTATGCCACTGTACGATGTAACACCCACTTTTCACTATTTATGTTATGAGTCCCATGTAATAGGTGTGAGCGTATTGCCATATACCGGGCACAATTCCAGACTCCGTTCTACTACTGTGAATTTTGTGATTTTTTTGAAAAACCCAGTAATACTAGGTTTGTTTAGGTCATTTGTTTCGCCAATCTGCAATGAGTAAGCGTGGTGATTAGTGCTCAAACCTTTTCCGTGCTGTCTTTGCTTAGCAGTGGGCACTTATAGGCTGTTAATTTATGGTGAAACTTGTCTTTTTTTCAGGCATTTTAGAAACCTGTACATAAAAATAAGAGAAGAGCAAGAAACTTCAACATTTCATAGAATTCAAACCAAAATAAATAAAATTATTATTAATTGAACTTGTTCTATAAAAATACTTTATAAAACAATAACTAACAAATACTTTATAAAATAAACTAACTTACCTAGTTTATGGTGTTCCTAGTTTCAAAGTTTGAAGTCTACTTCATAATATTGTTTAAGTTTTCTACTCGGACGTCAAGTCTTAAGTAGTGGCAGGCAATTAAACACAACCGGTACACAATTTCAAAGGAATCAAGACTTTTTACATGCAGGTTTATATAGATATGCTATTAAACGATTATGCTTTAGTTTATAGTTAAGCTTTTCAAGTAAAATAGATTGTAGACTTGTCCAGGAAAGTGGTAGGGGAGTCAATTAATTTCAAAACTTACATAAGTCATAAATAATAGATAGAGAAATTTAGGCATCCATGTCGTGTCGGCTCAGAGGTTTAAGACGCTCGTCGCTCTCATGCATGAGTGCGGGCTCGAAACCTACCAACGGCAAGCATCAATGTGACTGTTTCCGAGTTATATATACTTTCTAAGATTATTCAGATACCACTGACAAACGGTGAATGAAAACATCATGAGGAAACCTGGGCTTTTAATTTCTCGCATTGAGCAAGCGTGGTGTTTAATGCTCAAAATCTTCTCCGTGTGGGAAGAGGCTTTGTTCAGCAGTGGGCATTATACCTCTAGGCTGTTGATGTGATGTGAGGCATCCATGCATCCATGTGTTCTTAACGTACCTAATATACTGCATACAAATGTACCCATGTCTTAGCACTTTTTCTTATAGGGACAATCACTGTTCCATGTCCTGTTTTTTCTAATGGACCAACGGATCTATCAATCTTTGCTAACAAATTTGGTTTCAAGTTGTGTGGAAAATGGGGACGAGGTACATTGCGTGGACTAACTGGACATTTTAGTCGGGAAAATTGACCTGTATGGAAGTTATTATACGGTATCATTTACGCTGCATTATTTCTTCCTGGACCATTACTTAAGTAATAGTAATCAAATTAAATAAGCCTATCAACTCTTCTAGAGCGCGTTCAGATAACTCACGCACACTACGCGCACGTCATACCCGCGTACAACCCGCTTTGAAACTTGTTGAATATAATTTGAGTCTTATGTCACGTAAATAGATCTTAATCTGCTTTACCAAAGTCTATCCGTGAACTCCATTGAAGGCTCACCTCACTACACTTCACCTAAATACACCCTCAGTCATATAATAATTACGGTAGTGGTACTTCGACAACACAGTCCGCAGGGGCGGCGAAAACCTGGAGAAGCTGATTGTTGTTGAAACACCGAAGGCAATAGATCGCGTGGGCGTTATCCAAAAAGATGGACCGATCAAATAAAAGACTCATCCTCAAAATGTTGCACAGCTGTAAGAACGCGCTGGACAGTAACCGCTGGAACCAGATCATCCGCTCTAAATGCTCTTGATACTGACTACGATCCTGAGACATGAGGGAACGTCTAAAGAGAGAGATAGAGAGTAGTGGTAACCCTTTAAAAGTGACTTACCCGTTTTTGTTGCAGGAAGCAGTGCATAGCCTGTGTGACATCAGCCGCGTGTATCGAGTTGTGGTAGGGGTTTGTGCTGTGGTACCCCTCCTCAATCAAGCTAAACAATTTCCAGGCCTTAGCCGCATCTAGATTGAAATGAGTGAGGAGTCCGTACATCTGGAACAAATGCACGCACAGCACCGGTAGACACCGACCTGTGAAAAAAGAAAATAATTAGTATCTTTTGAAGTAACATTCAAATTGTATTGAACCTAAATTAATTGAGACTTCATTCAGACTCGAACTTAAGTTGTGTATAAATTAAGATTACATAATAAAAAAAACCGTTCAGTATTCAATAAATTAAGTTTTAAGATCCTGAATATTGACAATATAGGACTCTTTAGAATTATATCGACAACCGTGAATATCGACAGAAGAACTTATAATGTATGCAGGTATATGTATATGTCTGCAAGTATTGTATGTAGGTGTGTCTGTGTGTATTTAACAAGAAGTATGTGTTCCTACTAAGCTAAGAACTGCTGTCTTAGTGTTCCTTAAAACTGGTCTATATGGACTTAAGAAAGTTCTTAATGTGTGTTTGAAAAACATTTGCCAAGAATTTATATAAGTTTTCAGTTAAGTTAAGATATTGATTTCTAAACCATTTTCAGTGTGAAGTGTGCACATAAATATCTCATTATTAGTGCTTGTCACGCAAAAAATACATAGCATCATTTTGTTTTTCCACCAAACAAATGAAGATATTTTTAGTCGGTAGCAAAAACCGTTCCATTTAATTGCAAGGGTTGAGAACTCACTATTAACTTTTCCTCCTAAAAACAGTAGTACGAGCAAATAGTACTTCGTTTTCTTAGGATTCTCGTTCTCAGAATAAAACTTCAAGTTAGAAGTATCAGTAGAAATGAAGGCAGACGAAAATAGGAACGTAAACATTGACAAAAGTCTGGGTCTCCAGTTTAAATATGGCGGAGGACTGGTCAAAGTTTAAATTAATGTCAACGGGGGCAAGTTGCATGGAGACAAGGCCTTAGATAAATGAGGAACGGACGAACAACGGGACAGAATAACTTTGGATAAACCAAAAATAAATAGCAACTTCGTATTCTATATTTCAATGTCTGTTCACAAACATCTGTTTGATTAAAATGCTAGCATTTAAGCCATGATTGGAATTAGAAATAACTTTTTATAATGCAAAGCTTGATTCGAAATTTATCAGAGTAAGTATTTGTTTAGTTAAAACTATTTTTAACAATGCACAACAATGCACATCGTGTACCAAACCGTATTAATTCCAACGTAAAAATATCCCAACATCCATATTGTTTGTTAAAAGGATAACAAATAGTTTATTTTACCGTAACGCTATTAATAGGATTGAGTTGTGCAATCCCGATATTGTGGAACTGAGTAATTTAGTAAATCGAACTTTCTTTTATCAAACAGTGGCTACCCGAAATATCGGGGCATTCGGGGCTTATGCACTTTATTTTTTAATATTGTTGTTTGAACAGTACATGGGAGGTAGTTTCCTAAATTTTATTTTAATAACCGTCTGGTGAATTAATTTAAAACATTAGACTCATTAGTCAAAATTTAAAATCTAATTTGTACACGTATTTTTTATTGAACGTATGAACTTGCAATACCTACTTAGATAAAATGGCGCTAAGTTTAGGAGTGGGAGATCGTTACGTCTCTAAGTGCTACAAAATGTAGCGCATTGTGACGTCACACGATATTTCAAATTATTATATCGTCGAAAGTATTTAATTTTGAGAGAAAAGAAAAAATACGTGTACTAATTAGATTTTAAATTTTGATACCCTGGAAACTACCCAATTCGATGGACTCTTATTAGTCTCTAGAACATCTTTTAATCCTTCTGAGTGAATGCTACACCGATGCATGTTTATGTAATTTATGTTCTATCAGACTAAATTATGTTATTCGCGGAAAAAGATGAAGTTAACGGGTTATCGTCGATTAAAGTTATTTATAGTCTAGTAAAGTCCGCTTCTTAGCGTGTCGACGATAAACCATGGTTAGGCCGAAACTTGGTCACTTTGCGTTATTGTCGATGATTAACTCAAGGGAAAGCTTGACTAATGCCATACTTAATAAATATATAGTTAATCGGTGAAACTAGCACTTCAGATTCTAGAATTATTTACTTTTTTAACACAATTTGAAAACGTGTACTAGTAGCCAGTAGTAAATTCTGAACTTCCAATTCGACTGTGAGATATTATCGGTGAAACAGCCAAGTCAACAGGTTGTGATATGAATTGAACAACTTTATCGTAGTCGATGACTGTCGCGCACAAACCTGGACTTTTATAGTTCTAGCATTCGATTTTGGTGTAAATATTAAACCGAAACATAAAATTGTAAGACCTACTATTTCCATAGCCGTTATTTTGTTCACATTATTGACTGTCGAGTCGATATCGTGACTAACTAGGATTGTGTATCATTACATAAAAGCCTTCTTTGAATACCGTGTTCGTGTAAAATAACAATAGTGATTGTCTAGTGTTTAATATACTCATTGATTTATTAATAAACAACACACGGTACAATAACTAAAAAGAAATCATACCTAGACATTGAAAATGGAAAATGGTTATTAACAGCCTTAACTTAAGATAGATTTTCGTGAAATATTCAAGTCGATTTAAAGATGTTAAAGTATGTATATTTGTATAATGTTACAAGTGTTGCTCCATTGTTAGTTTGACATAACCGCGATTACCGAGACGTGCCCGTGACTACGGCGGGCAAAGAAGAGTCATGTATGTGTCGCAAACACGCTGACACACACCAACAACTTACTATGTTAATTTCTAACAACCATGCACAATTATTATGCAAACAATGTTTAGAGACTTTAGTATTTTGTATTTTTCTGCCGTTATTAGACAATAGCTTTACAATATTTAGCCATTGGATATTACCGGACCATTTATTTTTAAAAGATGTGTTATTTGTGTTACGTTTAGCTATATACATTGTTATGTTAACATCTTTTACATCGCTGCTCAGTAGTTACGTTAGATTTTGGAGTAGACTAAATTACGATTGTATTTTTCGTAGAGGGTAAGTTTTAAATTCTTTTTAACGAGAATTCAATCTCTGGACCCTCTTTTTGAGGCGTAAAAAACCATCCGATAACTAATGTTGATAGCAAACTAGATACCCTACATCATATTGGTATTAAAACCTTTATTGAAATATTCTTGAGACTGATTTACATAAACCTGACTAACTGACTGCTTCATTGACTTGGATATGTATTGATATTATCTATAACTAAAATGTATGAAGTAAATCAGTATGTAGGATGAGCAATTTTGCTTTGACGATCAAAGGAACCTGTGAAGAGGTCTAATCTGCGATTTCTCCCTCGCGTTCCCTTACTAAATGGCGCGGCGTAAGTGTTAAATTGTCTATATAATCCTTGAAACAACTATATACACTAACCGTTTCGCGAGATTACTGTGTTCTAAACAATAATAGTACTCTTTAGATTTTGTTATAGGTACATATTAGTTCAGTTGCTAGGTAGTATTTGTATATCATTTTTGTTATGAATAGATATTAAATGATTTAGATTTTTAAATTACCTTGATTTATACATAGATATAGTAGATATCGATGCTTAGTCCGGTATTGTCCTCGGATTATGGTAATAGGCTAATCGTATCAAATAGGAATCACACCGGCAAAAATGGGTGTTACGTTGAAACGAGTCATTTCTTATTTAATGGGATTCACAAGCATGATGTTATTAGTAAGTTCTGTATATGAGTATATCACTTTCAAATTTTTTGTTTAATACCTCTCTTTCTTTTCTTTTTCTTTTAAAAAAACGTTTCCCCACACTTGGATTGTCTCCTGTGTCGTGGGTGCGTTTACGAACATACAAATTCACATACACATGACACCCAGACCCGAAACAACAATTTGTGGATCACACAAAGTGTTGTTCCGTGCGGGAATCGCACCCCAATGCGCTGCACGGTAGCCGGTTGCCCAGCAACCGCACCAACCGTGCAGTATTATAGGTACTTTTTGGGATAATCTACGAGTAGAAAGCCAAACACAAAAATTAACTACACATAGTTCGTTCTACGTGACTTGAACTCTTGTAGAATTAAAATTCAAATGAGTATCACATCCCTTTATTCGGAGTTTAGTAAAACATGTATATAAGTATAATATGCAAATGAAGTTATCCAATTGGAATAATTAAGTCGTATGCTATCATCGATAAACAAAAGGAATTTAATGAGTTTCGTAAATTGAATAGGTTGTAAGTAATTTGTGCTTTAAATTAAATGCATATTTTAATTTTGGTACAATATGAGGGTATAACATTATGTACCAGCTACTACTGAGTTTAAAAACTTTAACGTCTCGATTTTGATGTATTTTTTTTATGGATTAGGAGGCAAACGAGCAGGCGGATCACCTGATGGTAAGCGATCAGCGCCGATCATATGTTACCTAGACTATACTGCGTTCACTGTGATAGACTTACTCAATAGCTTTTACAAGTCTTTTCCAAAGTAAGCAGCCCCTTTAGCCAAACGCCACTTTAGCGCTTGTCTACAGAGAGAGTAGAAATCAAAATGTATGGGGATGACACTGACAAGTGTCAACATTTACGTCAATCCCATATAATTTGATTTTCTACTCTACAAGTAGACAAGCGCTAAATGGCATTTGGCTACAGCTGCAGGATATGATATCATAATAAATTGTGTTAGAATTATTTTCTTCTACATTCAACATTTTACGAGAAAGTATACGTAGATAAAAATAATTAATATTACACACAATAAAGTATAAACTTGACAACAAACTACCGAATCTTTTAACAAGCTAGTTGAACTATCTGACAGACCGATTATACAATATTTTATCATAGCGTTTAATCAGCTAATAGATAAAACATTTATTGCTAGAGAACTGATACCAATTGTCTTCCAATTACGTTAATACAGGGATCAATTAGTTATTAATAGCTAGATAGCTTTGTCTTGTCTCCTAATTGGCAACTTGTTTGTGTTGTACCGATGTACCGATGATTTAGCGATTATAAAATGAAATCGGTGTTTGAGAATCGAGTCACGTGTGTTCTCGAATAGCTGGCGTTGCCATGGTTACCTTCCAGTCAGCAAGTTAGCTGATTATCCTGTGTTCGCAGGATTGAATCCATTGATTGAACGTCCGATGGATTGTTTGTTCTGGAATCGACGTCTGGCTTTGCGGTTCGATTTTATTGTGAGGCGACGTATGATGAGAGTGTATTGGATACTTATCTCGTACGCTTTTTAGCAGTGTGTGGTGTAACATAACATAACATCACGCCTTTTATTCCCGAAGGGGTAGGCAGAGGTGCACATTATACCACTGTACAATGTAACACCCACTTTTCACTATTTACATATGTTATGAGGCCCATGTAATAGGGGGTGAGCCTATTGCCATATACCGGGCGTGAGCCTATTGCCATATACCAGTGTGTGGTGTCTGTGTAGTATATACGAATGTTATCCAATGTTATAAAAAAGATCTTTACAAGAGGAGTAAACTATTTATCTATAGACTGAAGTACAATAATTCTTTTTTCATTCACCTACTTGCTTAGTGGGTGATTTAATAACTCGTTTCATCACAATCCGCATTATATTTACTCAAACGTACAGGTTTTAGTTTAAAAGATATTCTAGTGAACTTTCGACCTTTACGACTCCTATTTTACAATATGCTGTACAATCGAAATGTATCGATCGTGATGTAACTAATATCTTGGCGTACAGTTCTGTGCGAATGGATATCAGTTTTTTATTTGGCATGTGTACACGTAATTATAACATATCTAAGTAATGCAATAAACTGTAATTATAATGTATATTGTTTCATAGGTTACTCGGCTACTGCATGATGTTATCGATAAAGTTTAACTGTGTGTGTGTCTGTGTAACAACCACTATAGAGTTTCTTAAGAAAACATGTTCCTTTTTCGCATATTATATATAAAAATATCGACATTTTCATTGACTATTTAGGTACATAGCTACATAATATCTAATGATAAATTATTATACAGAAGGAAAGAAGTATACGTTACCTCCGGACACGTTTTCCAGCGTGAACGCATTGAACTTCCATTTATAGGAGTTGTTGAGTATGCACTGTAACAAAAGCAGAGAGTTTATTGTCACCTACAAAATCGCTTCTCAAAAGTCGCTCCTTCTTACCGCCAGCAAACTTAGCTACCGCTCGCAAGCCGGGCATGTCGTAAAAAGTCGCATAAGTAGGTATTCAGTCAACGACCTTTTAGCAAAATGTATAAATGTAAACCTGGATTAATAAAGATACATGTTTGTTCCGCGGATTCTTGGCCCATCGTCAAAGTACATTGCATTAGTTAGGAATGTTAATACTTGTCAACGTCACACGTATGCGTTTATCTATAACTTATATATTCAACACTTCCCAATCATAAATTTATCCATAATATGCGTTGTTTACGAGGTTGGACTTAGACTAAAATTTCAACCCGTTAACAAACAACTAATACTACCGAGTCTAATAATATTAGTTATACATGTGACGTTATTTACTGCCAACAATCTGGGGATCAACCAATTTCTTTCGCAATGAAATACAAGTCGCATTTACATCGTATATATGCGCCAGCAGCGTCCACATCTAGGGTACTAGTGTAGTCCCTTGGGTTTTGTACTGAACAAATGTAGTGACCAAGATTATCTATACTTATTTGATAATAGCTGAGTTTCTATCATGCCGTATAAGGCGATGCAAAGCTAAAAATAAAATCAAGAGCGATAATACCGCATCAAACACGGCGACAACTTGCATCGGTATTAGACGAACACTTCAGAAATCAAGCGCTGACTTTTGTAAGTTTTTACTTACATTGCGACGTCCTTGCTTCGACTACTTTAAAAGCAAAACGACATCCAACAATATGTCACAAGAATATACCTACAAATAGTGCGTGTGGACGATTCTTGAATACAAACAAACGACATTTAAATTTGCGGCGGAGCCAGAGACAATACGAGCGTCGCTGTAGCGAAGGACTGTGGAATGACCATGATGGGAGAAACAATGAGTGACGCCGCCGCGTTAAACATGGCCATTATGGTTCAGATTAACTATGCGTCGTGTATACATCAACACGCATACTTAACTCTGTCGAAACACTTTTTTTTTTTTTTTTTTTTATGGGGGGAAATCCTCATGGACTGCCTCCGCCTGGGGAAAGGCGGAGGGGTGTGCCGGACTCTTACCGGCTAAAACCACCCCAGTGTCTCCTCACACGTGCGTGCGGGGCCACGGGAGTCCAAATTCATCCGCAGCCCCGCATTACAGTGCCGGCCCGTATGTCAGGGCCCCGTCACCTGCACGGAGCAGTGCACCACGTGCATCGCCTCAAAGGCGCACGCCGACACCCGCGCGCGCCTTCGACTCGGGTCTTTGAAGTCGGGGGCGAGGACTTCCCCAAGTCCTTCGCCCCTGGACCCATTTATGGGGGCCGGAAGAGGGCGTTGTCGGCCCTTCTCCTACGCCCGGTGCGCCTTCTGCGGTTGGGAAAGGAAGTCAGTAAGATCTCCCTCTCCCGTTCCGCAGTTTCCTTCTGCGACATCACATCCTCGCAGAAAGACACCACCGCGTCCCACGACTCTGCGCTGTCCACCATCTTCCGCACTACGGCCGGCAGCGACAGATCGCTTCCTACTTCATTTCTGAGGACACGGCGCTGCTCCTCCCAAGCTACACACTCGGCGAGCGTGTGTTGCGCCGTGTCCTCCCCGCAATGGACGCAGTGGTGGCACCGGGCGTCCGGCTCCCTCTCTATGCGGCACAGGTACTTGCCGAAGCAGCCGTGCCCCGACAGCACCTGCGTCACTCTAAACGACAGGGAGCCGTGCTTCCTCCCAAGCCAGTCGTCGAGTACTGGCCGGATCGCCTCGACGGTAGCGAGGCCGGCGGTGTCGAAACACTTTGGTCAACTGCTGAGCAGGGGCGAACGAACGTTGCGCTCTCTGTTTGCCATGTACGCAGACTCGAATTCCCACGCGTTGAATGAATTTTTTATCTAGATTATCAATCAGATTAGCTGATACCAGGTAGTTATATCTGAACACATAAATAACGAATTCGGCCTTAGCACTAGCTGCTCTATAACTGTTTGTAAGCAACGTAGGTCAGTCCTCAATCTTCCGCGCAGGTCGCCGTGACAAACTGTGCAGATACTCACCTGAACCTGGCCGAGCGAAAGGTCATCCAAGAGGGCTTTCTCAATATACAAAGATCTCGTAATTAATCTCTTTTTTCGCCTTTTATGCATAGTTAAGAAACGGCCCGCAGAGAGATTCTTCTGGGGTGTGTTGTTTGAGCCTTGGACCTTTTCTTCAAGCGAGTCTGAGTGTAAGTCCGATTCTGTAAAAAAAATAGCATTTAGTAAGTGGACACTTACATGCAATACTCGGGTCATAAGGTTTTTTTGCGCTTCGGCCTGACCGAGGTTTGTCGTCTAAATTGAAGACGACAGTACAATGTGGATAACCCGAACGGTCGAGGAGGTGTACGACAATGAATGATGATAATAATATCAACACGAATGTATATCAGGGTACATAACAGTTTATCAAACACATTGTTTACAAAAGCATTGATAAAATCCAGTAAAAGCGTTTACGAAGCGCTCTAAATAATGTTCCGTTTGTGAGTACCACCACGGCAATCGATTACAGAATCCTGTAAGCTCTTTATGTCGAAAAGTATATTTTAACATCACTGTGCAGAACGAGGCTCTCTCCCAATCACTTAAGTTACGACGCGCATGCCCATGTGATTGTCTTCAGGTGATACTAGATTAATAACTAGAAAGTATATATCTAGTATTTATAAACACAAAATAAAGTTTGTTCGGTATTTGTTAAATGATTACAGTATCGGGACAGTATGTAAAGGAAAACTAACATTTAAGTTTGAGGTAACTCGAGTATTTAGAAAAAATACTGTTTGAACAATTTCATCTAAAATCTTTTTGAAAGCTTTAAGTAGTAGGTCACGGTAGGCTCGATTCTAGATACTTTCGTCTGAAAATTCGAAGAAATACTGACGTAAGCGAATTGGAGCGTGCATACATTCGTGAACAAACGATAAGTACTCTCGATTATTCACTCAATCCTCCCCTGAAAGCTATTAAAGTTTGTTTTCCATAAAAAAACGAGGTCTAAAAAGAGAACCCTTTATTACAAAATGAGGGGCGGTATATAATAAAAGTCACCTCTCCCAGCTACAGCGCCGGCCGCTCGAGGGTACTCGACGTTCTCCAGCTACCACCTTGATTGGGATAACCTTTCGTCCGAATAAGAAACGAGACGAAATATTCTAGGCAGCGACTGCATTAGGGAACGTTGCAGATTTTCCTTAAGCGTAGAAATTGTCTTTACAAAAATATCTGCAAGAATTCATCCAAGTGAAATGTAAAACTATGCCAAGTTTCCAGATCAAACTGTGCAAGTTTTAAGTGGTCTCAACTCAATATTGCTCAGTTCTTTAATGAACACTTGCAACTTGAGTCCGTACTCAGTAGTTCGCATAATTTAGTATTTTAAGTAATTTTTCAGAGAGCACTCGGCCAGTTCTTTAAAGAGGACTTATTCGACAATTATATTGATCCTGAACATGTAGAACAAAAGAGATTATAAGATTTGAATACTAATTTCAAACACTAGTACAAGATATCAAAAATTATATTTGTCTAACTATTTTGGTTAGAAATTCCTAGTAAAATTCGTATTTCAAACCAATACAGGGTTCTAATTACCAGTCAGATAATGTTGACGAAGTGCCGACCCTCAGTAGCACTTTAGACGACGCTGTTGTTACACAAAGGGCGTGGCCGAACCGTTATCATAATACGGAGCGTGTTTAATTAATCAATCTTCGAAAACTTTCAACATTCCTGTGATGTCAATCAAAAACGGTCTTATGATGACTTACTAATACGCCGTTATACAAAATATTACGAGTTCTATCTAAGTTGAGAATGTATTGAGGCCGGAATTATAATTCGGATATAGGTTGGTAATAAACGATCGATAGATATTGTACTCGGTATTATTTTGGAGAACAATATTAGGATTGAGAAGCACACCGAGTTTCATGGTCGCTACGATAAAAAGATCTATTATGGGCACTTTAAGCTTCAGTTATTGAACATTATTTTGACGAACTTCTCCTTATCTGAATAGAAATCTTTCCAAGTACTTATATATTCACTTCTTCCACAGATTTTTGGCGTAGAGGAGAACAATTTACGGTTATATTTTGGTGCATCCTGCTTAACATTTTGGTTTCAGTATTCTATTGCACTTCGCTACTTGTGCTTTTCGAAATAAGATTTGAAACCGTCTTTTGTCCAATATTGGTGGTTCGTACGAGGGGCATTTTGCGCATGCGTCGCTACTACTTTATAAAAGTGCACATCACTAGATTGATAGGTGTTGTAGAAGTATCAAGTTTTGGACAAGCGTTCTGCAGGGAACTTAGTAGTATCCATCTATTATATGTATTACAGAGTCGCTAAAAATTGTATGTGTTGATTTCTGACCTCATTTAACTAATTCTTTCACTTTGCACGTTGTCAGAAAGCTGTAGCTGTAATAACTACGCCATCATTTAAAACTTTTATATTGGTTTAAATAACATTTAACGCCTCAGTTATAACGCCACAAAAAATCTTTAAAGCGCCACATAATGCGGTGAGTAACAAAGTAAATTGAATGAAAAATATCGTGTTTCGTGGTTGTGTTCCGGCGTTGTGTTAATCGCCAAAAAGCGCTTTTTATTCTGGTGGTAAGAAATCTCTGTATTCATAGCTCCCTTGTCTACATAACGAAGTTTAGTGTGACGCTGGGGGCCGCACAACCAACAAAATATTGGGTGAAATTGTTGTTTGTATCACAAGATTTAAATATACATTTTTGTAGTGATTTACAATACGACTGTACACGTATAAACTAGAGCTATAGTTAAGCTTTGCTATATCTGAGGTCGAGTGTGGCTTTATGTAACAATATAGCTGGACTACCTCCTTATTCATAGTGTAAATGTTGCCTATTCTGCCCCGAGGTGGCTTAGCTTTGTACTACCAATATTCAAGTCAGTACTGTTTGTTGTTACAGGTTTCAGTTGCTTCACTAAGTTCAAACATTGTGTCAAAATTGAATTCGATTCGAATACCAGTTGTGATTCCAAAATGGAGTCTAGTAACTGCGGTTATCTTATTTGTTTACTTTCGTTTAGACTGATATACATATTAGGTTCCCAAACTTCTAGTTCTATTTCGAAAGTTTTCTATTTAGTATCGTAATTTAGACAGTATAAAAGTTTTTTGAAGTTTTTACCTAGGAATTTCATTTAGTTAACATTTGATAAACACCAACACAATTGCGAACTTGTACTAACAAATGTAGTTGGCTGCGAATACAATACAACAAGCAGATTTAACAAGTCTCGCGATGATATAAAAATACAACAAAGAATACAACTTTCAACATGATAGGTACTCCGAACGTACTATTTTCACATATTTTTAACAACAGATGAAGTATCAACAATTGTGCTGTTATTTTTATGAAAAAGCTCGTCTGATAACATGTAACCAAGTTCGAACGTTTGGTGATGACAAAATAAATACAAAATGCGGTATTGATACAGTACCGCGTTGATAAACTACGCTTCGTATTATCTGCAGCGATAGTACATGCGGTAATATGAATACAATAGCCGTGTTCTACTATATTTTGGGAGTTAGAGACAAAATTAAAACATTGTATCACCGATTGCTCTAGCAAGTACTCGTTCATTCGTGAAATCTCAGTTCTACATTTTTTCTCGTATGAGTAGAAATACCAATGCATCAAATTCAAGTTTAATACGGGTAGTCTGGTAGCAGGAAAACGAAATGTCAGCTGGCTGCCAAGATTCTTATCATTTAACGCTTGCGCTGCATCGTAGGAAGAGAATAGGCGTATTTAAAGTGCCAACAAGATTAGGGACTTGTCAGCCGAGACTTGTTAGGGAGAGATTTATGATGTTCTGTGGTAAATTGACGTTTATCATCACCATGAAAATCATGTCCATTGGCAGATTAGCAAGAATAAATTAGAAATAGACACGACGATTCAGTGCTGTAACGTTCTGCTGTAAAATACATATTTTATTATCTGTGTATTATATTACCGTTTCTAGAATCTTCAGCAAAACAAACCAGTACATTAATTAGTGTTCAAGGAAACACACGTAAGTCAAACATTACGGCGTATGTATGTAGTAGGCTGTATCGAGATAATTATTTCGATGCCCCAAGCGGACATTCAGATTAAAGAAAACATGTATGTTCTTTGTTTTGTTTTTCGACTACATCAATTAAGGGAATAAACCTGCTTATTGTATATGTACCTATTAGCCCAGAAAGGGTCGCAGTAAATTTAAAGTATTTTTCGTGTTTCTGGAATTTTGATGTTATGAAATAAAAGGCTAGCTTTATACATTTACAAAAGTTCAACTGCTGCCTTATTTAAGCAATGTTTACCACGAAATCCATACAATACACATTAACTGAATTTCAAAAACCACTTGATTCAGGATAAAATTGACTGGCTACAAAAAAAAAACCATAAAATCTAACAGTTTTATGCAAGTGGTAGTAAATAGCATTTGTAAGCACAAGTTTTAATTTTTTTTTTACTATTGTAGTCCTTTATTTCTTTCTATTAAAAGGAGGATCATTTACACTTGGATGTGTGACATTCAAATATTTCAACACCTATCCACACAAACGATGAACGTTGTTAGCGTAGTATCCAGCTAAGATCGAATTTTATTTCATTTGCGAACTTCTTTAGGATTCTGCTGAAGTCCTAAGAAGCCTTTTTAAGTACCACTAAGTCAGACTAGAGAGAGATTTGCAGCACTGCGACTAAGCAATAAACATGGCTCTCTCAATGCAATCCAATCTATCAGAATGATATCAAACGTTTTAGAAACTTTCGAGACTTTTGATTGGGTTGTGATATTGAAAAATACTGAATGAATGTGTCATAAACAGTTTATTTCGAATTTTGATGAGAAAGCGATTTTATCCAATCAATACTTTTTCGAATATAAGTATCGTATATTCTTATACTATTCTTAACCCTTTGAGTACCGTCATTATAGACACAATTAAAGAACAATAGGTTGCAGTCACCGGTGTCCTCGCGGTGTTTGACAGTTTAATACTGTTTTACTTGATGTGCCTTTAGCACAGATAACATACTTGACCACTAACGTGGACATATGGAATGCAGGAACATTTTCTATATGAAGATTTCAATGGAGGACATCTTGAGACTAACTGGAGTAACGCACAGGCGATACCTTTGAAGTCACATATCTTTAAGTTATGACAACCATGTATTCCTGACGACACAGTTAAACCAAATAACAAACGAATCAAGATCATTAATCCAATTTCCCATCTTTCTTTCTTTGTTTCACTTGCTTGAAGTGTGGGATACTGAAGGGTCTCGAATATTTTCAAAGCGTTTCCTTGACCTTCCATAAAAACTCATTGCGTACTACGTGACTCACTATAATATGAGTAATCATTCTTATGAGGAATATTAAATGTTCTATGGTGTTTTATTCACTTCTCCGAAAGCATTATTATTCACCCCGGCTAGCCGGTGTAGCCTAGTTTCTTTACTTAAAGATAGAACGTGTAACAGACACGTGTAGGCCCATCTAGCACATTTTTTACAAGCATCGATTCCTATTTATATTATCAAAGTTAATCTCATTAACTGTTTGGTATAAAAAGTGCCAAAGTGCCATCGCATGGTAAAGTTTTTTAATTAAACCGTCGTAATCTCAACACGACATACAAAGTTTCTTTTCCATTTTCATCCTGATTTGATTGAACAACATCTAACATGTTTTATTTTTGATTGCAATAATTTACGCAAAACATGGCGGAAATGTCAATTCGTGTGACGAAGTGAAGAAGTACTGAAGTGGTACTTAGGTGCTAGTAATAAGGATGAAAACAAATACTCAGCGATAGCACAATATCCATAGAACTATTAAACTAGCAGAACGTGACGTTTCCAGTTTTTCGCATCGGCGACTTAAGTTTTTGTCTTATGTAATACAAAACAAAATGTTCACACAAAGCAAAATATCTACGCTTTACAGTTGCACATATTTTTACTCTTTTTTGAACGGCACCAGCATTTTCCTTCAATGTCTGGTGTGGAGAACGTGTCGTGAGAGCAATTTGTTCATAAAACCAAACCGGGAGGCTTCTTCCCACCTGCATATAGACTCCCCTAGGGATTTCGTGACGTCGATGTATGTGCGATGTCCCTTTGCACTCTTACAATAAAGTTATCTATAATAATCAACACGACGTATCTTTTGTTTTGTTCACGTCGTGTCTCGACACAATATTCCACATGACTATGTTTTATAATTCTTCACTGTTCATTGCATAATAAGCGTCGTAAATGTCCTTTGTGTATTTCAAGAGACGATAGAATATGTACGAGTATCAAAAGTAGATTTTAGTGTTAAAGAGTCTCTAAACTTTGCTTTTCGTACTTGATACTACACCTTTTTAATATTACCTAAATGATATTTTACACTCTCGACAAAGACAAATCCTTATTAACCCGCGTGTACTCGATAAGGTTTTAATCAAGTTAGCGGGATGTCAGTAGGGCCTTCTGCAAGGTAACCTTAATAGTTCATCTGTGAGCACTCACACAAAGAACACTTTAAAACTTAACCAAAGAGAATTCAACACTCGTAGGTCAAATAGTTTTTAAAGTATTAACTTTAAAGAAATATCGTCGATAGCAATACAAACAAAATTCATTTTTGTAAACTATTTTGTGATCCCCGAAACGTGACACAAACATAGGAGATTCGAGACGATTTTCCTATCGCAAAATTTTAATTAATATTTTAACGAGAATATTCTATAGTCAGGCACCTTTCCTAATAAATTGGGGATTAACTGGCCCCAGGTTGTCACTGCAACCTCGATAATTAGGTTGGTAAGGGTTGAAGCGCAACATCCAATTTTGGTGGACGTTCCAAGTGTTTACTGACTAGATCGATTCTGTATTTCGGATTTACCACCGTCTTCTCGTTCCACTATTAAATTGGGAGCCAATTAAATATACTTGTATTTAGAACTGTACTGTAGTATAAAACAGTGGAAATTGAATTGTGCCATGTTTAATTCAATTGAATAAGTTTTTACCAATAGCATCTGTATATTTTGTTTAAGTAGTTGTAGATCGGACAATGCACATTTTCCGAATCATTGCCGGGAGTTACATTCTCTATTAAAACATATTAAAACGTATTTAAATTTCAACACCCTTGAACAGATCCTGACCGCTTGAAGTGGTACTCATTTTTATTTTATACATTAACTAACACACAAAGCAAAAAATACTACTTTAGTCTACACACTAAACAAAAACGGTGCTTATTGGACTACTTACTACAAAAAAAAAAATGCTACTTTTCTACAGTCGCGTAATAAGTTACTGCGACTTGTCGAAAAGGTGATGTTTCTAGCTTTATGACACCGAAAGCTTCGATATTATAAAGTCATAAAACCAGATGCCTTTAACGACTTGGCTGGCACATTCATTCCACACGAAAAACAAATACATGCATGACTATACGATGCCAGTTGCTAGGAGGAACAGAATAGAAAAAGAACTACAAGAAACACATTGGTGAGTAACACATATGCATCCTTGAGTTACTCACGTGAGAACCGGGACGTCCTTCGGGACATCCGCGGAGACGTTCGTGGGGATGATTGAGGAGATATCCTCGGAGAAGTCCACCTAAAAGCACGCGAATACATTCGCGGGGACGTCCTCCAGAACGGCCGCGGAGATGTCCGCGGTGACGTTCGCCGAGACGACCGAGGGGAGGTCTTCGGGGACGCCCGCCGGGAAGGTCTCGGTGATGTTCGCGGGGAATCCCGCCGCGAAGTTCTTGAAGACGTCCGCGGGGACGTCCGTCGGGAAGATCTTGGAGATGTCCCCGGTGATGTGTGCGGGGTGACCCGCGGTGATGTGTGTGGGGTGACCCGCGGTGAAGACCGCGGGCTTGCCCTTGGGCTGTCGTGGTTGCCATGGCAAAGACCTACAACAATAATGATTGCTATACAATTGCACTTCTACACATCTAAGTATCCAGCCGGCACGACTTGACGTCGAATTGTTAGTATAATAAACTATTACTATTTAATGTTGTCGCTATAATGTATCAATCAGTTGATGGCACGGGCCACCAATTTAACGTATTAATACAATAACTTACCAGGTACCTACTCTTACAAATATGTATTTATCTACTTGGAACTGACGCCTTAAATCTTTTATAAATCTAAATAGTGGTCGCCGGCAACTTTAATACCTACTTAGTGGAATTCACACCATGCATAATAATTATTACCTCAGTTTCAGAATTTCCACAAACTAAATTCTAGTCATTATTTATTAATAGGTTCCTAGGAAAGTGTTTGTGTATTTTCAAATTTTCATGTTGGACTATAAACACATCGATAAAATTTAACCAATAAACCTGTTGTACTACATTTATGAATTGACGATTGAAAATGGGAAGCTAGCTGCACCTACTTAATTTTCTTCTTTGCAAAATAGAAGTCGTACAGTCGTGGAACTAGAAAGTAATAAACAATATTAAAAACCTAGGCTGTCTCTTTCTACTCCGATGGAGCCATAATCCGCTTTGAGGCAACTTGTGCTGCGTTAGGATTCAGTTATTTATACAAGTTCATAGTTTAGTGGAAGTTCGCCTTCTTGGTAATATTAGTTTTATTTTAGATCAGAACATTTTTATGGGTTGTTGTTAAACAATTGTGATTGTATTATACCGAGGAGTCCATGTAAAATAATCCGAATCTAGTCATAACTAGACTAGAAGTCTACTTTTAATTCTTACACAAATTTTCAGCGACACATATCTTTTGTATTCACTACTTACGTTTGACCCAAAAATTTTAAAAGAGTATCCATACTAAATGGTGCACTTACAACCTAGCGTTGTATCATATACGAACTTCCAACTTAACTGAACGCCGCAATGGGCCAGAGCTTTATAGAAGTTATTAGTGCAGTGTCATAAAAAGTTTTAATTTTACTGACAGTAGAGCTTCATAACTAGAACCTGGCTCAACATTCATAACGTAGTTAATGAAACTCAAAATCGCTACTCATAATTCATTTAATCAAACTTGTTGTTTTTAAGTAACATAATTTTAATTAAGGCACTTTCTATTAAGTGCAATTAAAGTTGAAAGGTACCATCGGTAAGCGGATCAGTCCGAATGCAGAAAGCCCGAATTTACATTACTCATTGTGTTAAAATATTTTCCTATAAATCCTATTAAAAAGAAGATTAATCGGAAAAGAATATGGCCAGTGCAGGCTTTATATTAACATATTGTTAAAACCTTTCTCCAAAAATAATCTGCATAAAAGCATCATGTAAAAATGTACGAATTTTTGGTGAAGTTTTTATTAAACTCGTATCTTATAGGTAAAACTCATTCCTAGTTTTTGCCACCGAATTGTACGAGCACAATATACCACATACAAATAGTTACTCCATAGTTTGTTTAATTATCTGTTAGAATTCACAAGGAGCGTCACAACTCAATTTCACTAAAACAGAAGTTAGTGCAATTGCATAGTCCCAGATTGATTAACACTTAATATGTTAGTCTGTTCTCAAACCAATACCTTTGTAGAAAAGGATTCCCGGCACGCCAAGGCAGTGCAATGAAGTTTAGGAGCTCCCGGTAAACTAAGAACGGGGAACACAAACACAAGTCACGTGGTTACACCTCCGTATGTCCGTGATATTGTTTAGAGCTTAACATAATTATGGGAGACCGAGGACGTGGGAATATGTGGGATCACGTCCGACATTGGAACAATGGAAGGAGAACTCGAAAGGTAATTAGGCACCCTCAGTATGAAAAATTTACATTGATTACCTACATTTAGTAGGTAATCAATTGATTACCTACATTTAGTAGGTAATCAATGTAAATTTCCACATTGAAATTAAGCTGGACGATTGACAAATAAATTAAAAGTCAACACTCTGATCCGAATGAGACAATTAACAACTTGTTTCAGGAGAACAATAGAAAGAAAGAAAAGGATTTGAGAAATAAACGAAACAAAATTAATTTTTCAATTTTCACCACAGATGCCATATTGTAAGAATTTATTCACTATTCAAGTAATTCGACGGAGGAAGTGCGGGATCAAAGTTAATTTCATTGGAACTTGAGGCAGTATGAAAGTGGCACTGGTAATAAAATGCTGAGGAGGAAATGAGTGGCAAGGTATGCTCATGAAATACGAACCAAGGGAAGATCAAGGAGCGGTGGATTACTTTAAAATCGAGGGACAGATGATGACTGATGAAGATAGAGACTTCCTAGGTTGCATTAACATTAATAAATAGTTGGTCACAGGTAAATAGATTGGTATATATGACCCTTCAATATGGCGACCAAGCAGACGAAACTCCCGTGGTACAGGTGACACTTAATAACCTTTTCCGCAGCGAAGCATGTCCTTGTCCATAGTACAAAAGTTTGAATATGGCTAACTATTTTCTGTGCTGGTTCAAATGGTTCTGCAATAGAAGTTTCTGTCCAATTGTTTTTAGAACAATTCCATGTTTATGTAGTGGTAAACGTTACGTCAGGGCAATACAATAATATATTGTTCCTTAAGTAACAAAGGGTGTATGACAATTATAATATCAAAGACTGTTAACAAAAATAAAGGTTAAAATACTACGAAATTTATACTCAGTTATAGAATGAAGCTTACTCTATATTGAAGCCCATTGTTGACCATTTCATCTTTAAGTATTACCAATAAATGAACCCACGCCATTTCTTTATTATTCGCAAGCAATAAAAATAAATTTTTGTTTGAGTATATTTTACCAAACTTCATTTTTGTTTTTATATCTACCTGTATACAGACTTTACGTAAGGTAAGGACTACTTAAAGGCAGACCTTTGACTTGTCTTTTTCAGATATAAGTACTAAAGTTGTAAGCTTGACTTTAGCTCCACATTAGATAACTTTTTGGCAGTGCATGCCATCAAGTCTCTTCTCGGCAATATTTAACTATACAATGTTTTAGGATGGAGAGGAAAAGAGTATAAGTACCTTAGTATCGAACAATCATGTGCACCAGCGTGTGTACATGATACATGGGGATCATATTTTACAACCTCATTATCGCCTGGAGGATATACAAAGAAAACTCTTCTTTGCCCTCATTTTACCTGCAGACTAGCTAATCTCCTTACCACGACATGAGTTAATTAATATTCTTGTAAAGCTTGTGCGATACGAGAGGAAAACATAATGCAGCTGGCATTTTCAATTCTATCTCATTTTTTAATCAAACAAAACAAATAGTTAGGTTCCTTTGTAAAGTAAATGTTTTCACGACTGCAAAGGCTTGGGTTGGTCAAAGAATTATAGTTTGTGGTTTCGTCAGCTCTGTAATTGTTTTACCTTTACAACAACCGTTTAAATTCGTTTGATATAGAAAATTGAAAATTTAAAGAACTTACAGTTTCCTGCAGGAAAATGCTTCGTATAAAATTCAGTTCTAAAATTTTTCGTGCACGGATGCTAAAAAATTAAAAGCTCCAAAACACATTCTAACAGGAAACGTGTAAAATTTCTAGCGTCGGCTTGTCAGTTACCATCAAAAATTTTTTACGTCGCTTTTTTCAATATTGAATTGAAAATAAACTAGTCACGTTGATTGCAGTTTTTTTCGAGTCTACAACGTTTATTTTGGTTGTCAGTCTTGTATATTCCGCGTCGATGTGCAGACAACTTCGATATCTATGCAGTGTTAATAGTTTTGCTAGGAATTAGATCTTTCTGCATTTGTTTATTATTTTTTACAAAAAACAATCGTTCAAGTTGATTATTAGAAAGTAATTTACCAGTAAGTTAATCGGTACTATATTAATAACAAACAAAAAACTGCACTTAGCACAAAAAGTAGACATAGCTATACTGCCAAAATTTTCATGATGCATTTACTTTAGTAACCTTAATTCCTTTTGACCCATTCACAATGTAGAACTCGATAACCTCAATGCATATCCAATTCAAAATGTTGTTTCAAGTTTTAATTGTTGTGGTAAGCTTTGTAAATCAGACAGACGAGGAACAGTCAGATACAGTTGCACCAGGAACTGCGAATATCTTAGAGCTCCGGATTCCCAAGCTATTATTTGAAATGAATTCAAAGTGTAAGGATATCCAGATTTGCTGCGAGGCACAATTAATTTATATCCCCTTTGTAATTTTCCACAAAGGTCCAAGGAAAATATACCTTGGAGTAGTCTTTGTTTTAAGACTTAAGAACCTTTGTAATACTGGTGTTCTGTTATATTTTGCTGCGAGATTGTCGGCAATATATATTTTCTTTAGTATTGTAGCTTGAAGTCGGTACATGGTCAAGTCAAGATATTATGAAACATAAAGATTACTGCACAGAAGAGGCAAATTTTGTCGTGATATGCATATGTGAATGGCGGAACAGGATATCCCAGCAGCTGCACAATATAGATGCGTTATTTTGTAGGCGGATTGCCAAACGTACACAATGGATAAATCTGATTGTGAACGGACTGTTCTGAATATGGCAGCTAGACTGTTCGAGATCAGCGACCAGCTGTTGAAAACCAATATTGACAATGGTATCGAAAATCAGTGCCTTTGATTTAAATTTCGTTAAAAGGTTTTCGGGAGAAGAGCTTTAAATTACAGTTCTGTTTCGTTCAATAGTTCGTCGTATTCAAAATTAAATTCGAGAAGGGCACAACTACTTTGATGACCTATATTAGACCTTAATACTTTATCTAAAAGTGTTTATATTTTAAGATTATCTAATTACCCGCCCAAGTGGGATTGTATGAAGTTGTATCGTACTTATATCTTTAATCAAATTATCGTTAATTGGCGAGCCGTTCCAATCTTACAGATAATTTCGTGTAAACTGATAACAACGATGTTTATTTAGAGGATTTAGTAATTCAACATGATCGTGAAAAGATTTGA